AGGGTAGAGTCCGGCACATCATGCCCCAGCTCTGGGATTTTGTTTTCTACTGGATGCCAAGGATAGTAACTCAAGCCCTCAGCTTGCTCCCTCAGCCGCTGCACCATGGGGGGTGGCGGTGCTTCAAAATCTGTTTCTTGTTTGAGGGCACTTAATCTTAATCTTTCTAATGCAGATTTATCAAAGGAGGTTGAACACCTAAAACCACAAGCCTCTCTGGAAACTCTTAGGAAGCCAGAAGAGAAAAGGGAAGATCAAGAAAAAAAAGTCAAACCACCAGAAGTAGAGCCAATTGCAAGGGAAAGCGTGGCCCCTGCAGACCCAGAGGGCGAGGTTCCAGCCAGGGAAGTGGCTGAGGTGGACGAGGAAGGAGCGGCGGATGATGTGGGGCCTGGGCCGACCCCGAACAAGACCCCTCGGCCTCGGAAGCACTACTCCTTCACCGAGGCCACTGAGAATCTGCACCACGGGCTGCCCACATCCTGTGGGCAGGCCTCGGGCAGCCCACGCTGCCGCCACAGCATGGGCAAGCACCGCAGTGACCAGGACTTGCGGCTGGAACCCACCAGCTACGAGCCCTCCTTCGGCAAGGCTGCCAGGGTCAAAGCCAAGGAGACGGCCTTCAGGGACAAGAAGAGCAGTCTCATGGAGGAGCTGTTTGGTGCAGGCTTCGCAGGCAGGAGTGGCCCCACCAATGGCGAAGTGTCCGGGAAGGCCCAGCAGCTCGGACCCAGCCAGGCCTCTGCCAGCAATGCCTTCGGGGACTCCAGAGCCACCGTGGTGCGGTCCATCCAGCCCTCACCCACCGAAGGAAACAGGAAAACAGTTACTTAAATACAACAGTGGCCTGATACATTCTGGTTTATATACTAGTTACATGCCTTTACTCTTACTTACCATGTGAGGGTTTACATAGTGTCTGTTTTAGTACTTGGGTGGACTGTGGGTAATTTGGGTAATTTATTGCTATCTAATAAAATAATCCACTGTACTTTGATCAATGGTAACATTTTAAATACAAACTTACATCTTTATTATGAAGGCGAAAAACGTCCACTCTTCAGGCAGACCAGCTTATTACAGAGCTTGAAGATCTGCGACTCACAGCAACTCTTGTTCAGCCTAAGGCATATACGCTGTCAGCAGGACTGTTGTCCAAACTTCATGGAAGAGGCACTGGCCAGCAAGATAGCCATCAGACTCACGCTCTGCCTCGTGGTCACTGCCGGTGGTCTGCTCAGTGGAGCGGTCTGAGTGCCCTGCCTTTGTGAGCCAATCTGTGCCTGTATAGGAGGCTGTATTTTTTTGTTGTTTTTGAGATATATTACTATTTTGTTACATAATGATCTTTTCTCTTTACCTTGTCCTAAAACAACTGTACGCTCAGATCTAAGAGCTTTTGTTGGAGCTATAAAGGGTCTGGATTCCCAGCCTACACTGTGTAACTCGCCTTCATTTAGCTATAGGAGCAACTTATTCCGTATCTGGAATTGGCCACACTGTCTCTAGATGTTTACATGCTAGTGTATATTAGCACCAATGGCTCAGTGCCTGATGAAGGGCGATGCTGCTGCTGCTGCTGCCGCCTATGGCTGCTCTCACCCACATCTCCACACTCAGGAGGCAGAGGGTGTTCTGAGTTTGGGCCAGCCTGGTCTTCATGGTGGGTTCCAGGCCAGTCAGGGCTGCACAGGAAGACCCTGCCTCAAAAAAATTAAAATTCAAAAAAATAATAATTTTAGTTTTTCAGGTTTTTTCCTTCCATCGTTTTTTAAAGTGCATACACAATAACATTCATAAACATGGACCATCTTGGAAAACCCTAGGAAGCAGGCAGCAGTGGAGCGTGGAAAACTGACAGGGCAGAGGGACAGAGACACTTTCTGCTGCACCTTTCCCTGGTTAATTCAATGTTTATTACCCATTTTTAAACAAATACAATTCTGGGGAGAGAGACACAGTGATATCTCCCACACAGCCTTACCCACATTATATACATCGGGACACGAGCAGTCTTACATTATGCACACAGGGACACGAGCGGTCTTACATTATGCACACGGGGACACGAGCGGTCTTACATTATGCACACGGGGACACAAGCAGTCTTACATTATGCACACGGTGACACAAGCGGTCTTACATTATGCACGTGGGGCACTAACATCTCGGAACAAGCTAACCCTTTGTCACTGTTTTCCTGCAGTCAGCTGACATCACACATCCCTTGAGAGGTCTAGGTCTGGGTGGCGTAAGCACCATTCCAGATGGCAGCTCACTACAAAAGGACCAAGGTGCAAGCATACCCTCCCCCACCCCGAGTGTCCAGCTCCTGAAGCGAGCCCAGATTCTGCAGCTTCCAGGGCCGTTCCAACCTCCTCAGATCCTCAACTGATCTTCTGTAGACCAAGTGTTTGATGAGGGGTGGGGATGCTGGAGCTGATGGGCAGGCCAATGTTGGCAATGCCTACTCCTGCACACTTGTGCCCTTTATACACCAGCCAAGTCACCCTGGTGCCGTGTAAGTCTGCAGTGTCTGCTGCTCGGGTGGTGCTCCATCTGACACTCACCCTATTCACAGTACAGTCAGCCAAAAGAACAAGTTGTTTATGAGATCACTAGGAAACATAAGAATATATAAATATGATCCTTCAAAACCCAGTGCTATGCCTTTAATCCCAGCAGCTAGGAGACAGAGACAAGCGAATCCCTGTAAGTTCCAGGTCAGCCTGGTCTACGTAGTGAGTTCCAGGACAGTCAGAGCTGTGCAGAGATGTGATGGTGCTAGCTTGTAGCTTTTCTGTGCTGTGGCTCCCCAGAGTCACAACCAGGCAGTGCTGGACTGCTCCTGCAATAAAAAAGGCTCTCAGCACTGGCCAATACTGTAACTAGGAAAAGTGCTTCAAAAACAGATTTGGAGCCAGGTGAAGCAGCACACACCTTTAATCCCAGTATTTAGGAGACAGAGGCTGCTGGACCTCTGTGGGTTCAAGGCCAGCCTGGCCTGTGGAGAGAGTTCCAGAACAACCAGGACTACATTGAGAGACTAGGTCTCAATAAAACAAAAGAGAAACACTGAGATATGGCAGAACTGTCTTGTAACTTCATGAGCCAAATGAATCTCAGTTCAAACGAACTGATCAGACCTTGCTTCAGTGTTCCACTCTACACGGCATAAGCATCCAGTGCCTTAAAGATATACTTCATTTGAAATGCTTTAAATAAAAACAACAGAACATAGTCTCATGAACACACACAGGAACCACTATCAAAAGTTAGCAGGCTTAGATACACGGTGATGAAAAGTTAGCAGGCTTAGATACACGGTGATGCTTTTCACACGGTTTTACGCTGAACTTGGTCCAACAAATGACATTTCAGAGAGGAGGACAAGCACAGGCAACATCCACTAGTGTCACTTTCAGGGGAACTTCAAGAACTGAAAAGCAGAATTCTTGTAGTGATATTTTTTTTCTTTTAAAAAAAATGTGTGTGTTTTTTTCTAAAATTAAAAACGGCACCACTGGACAGCGTCTACCTGGCCAGCCTGAGCTGCTGCTCTCACTTTCTTTAGTGACAGCGTCACAAAGTGTGTTCATCCTTAAGAGTCAAATTACAGGAAACAAAAGGATGAATTTAAAGAAGTGTGGTCATGCAACCTCATTCTGTCTGGTGCTGAATACAAAATATACACAAAGCTTCTGCCCCAAACCACAAAGAGCAAATGTAAATGACGTTTCGCAAAAGGCGGAGATTAAAGAAATGCTTGCTTCTGATGAGGAAGAGATTTCTGCTAAAGCAGAAAAGGCTCAGGTCCCAAAGCTAACAGGGACGGTTAGAGGTAAATCTGATGGAATGGAAGACACACACAGGAAGAGCAAAGGAAGAGAACAGAGAGGAAAGACAGATCTGCTGGAAAGGAGGAAAAGGCAGCGTGAATCAGCGAAAGAGCTGAGCAGGTCAACGAGGAGGAGGAAGATGAAAACCAGCATACGGCAAAAGTTTTTAAGAGTCCCACCCTGGAAAACTCAAGCTCAGTTTTGAAGAAACAGAAAGGCAAAGGAGAGGAGGTGAGGAGAGGAAAGCCGAGGAGGAGGCCCGGAGGAGGAAAGAGGAAGAGAGGAAGGCATTTGGGAAGCCAGGACAGGCACGGTATTAGATGACTCCCCAGGATGCATAAAACAGTTCCTCAAGAATCCCTGATGCCTGGAAAACTGGAAATTAATTATAAAGAATTATTAAAACAAAAAATGGAAGACGACGCCGAGCAGAGGAGAACGAGGCACAAACTAGAAATGGAGAAACGGAGCTGAGCAACTGAGACAAGGAATGGGAGAGGAGGAAGAAAAAATGAAACTTTTGGATTGAGTAGAGAATATGAAGAATTAATCAAATTAAAAAGAGGAGGTTCTATTCAAGCTAAAAATCTAAAAAGCAAGTTTGAAAAAACTGGACAGTTGTCTGAAAAAGAAATACAGATGATGGAGGAGGGTTATCTGTCTATTGTGTTATTTTCATTGGTCAATAAAGAGACTGCCTTGGCCCCTTGATAGGACAGAAAGTTAGGTAGGCGGAGTAAACAGAACAGAATGCTGGGAAGAGGGCTATGAGGCAGACGCCATGGAGCCAGCCACCAGGTCAGACATGCTGAATCTTTCCCGGTAAGCCACACCTCGTGGTGTGATACAGATTATTAGAAATGGGTTAATATCAAGATATGAGAGTTAGTCAGTAACTAACTCTCTAGAGATAATGGGCCAGGCAGTGCTTAAATGAATACAATTTGTGTGTTGTTATTTCTGGGACTAAGCTAGCCGTGTGGGAGCCGGGCAGGACGAAAAGCAGGCCTGCCCGCAGCCCCTTACTACATACAGAAAAAGAAGAAGAGCAAGCAAAGAGGAGAGTGATTGAGCTTGATTAAAGCGCGAGAAGCAGAGAGCTCCCACGAGGCACATTATTATTGTATTTGTTATAACCTTAATCTTTTTTTGTGTGTGGTCTTAAAGTTGGCAGTTAAATATTTTCCTTGCCACTTGGAAAATGTATTAACAGAGCACCAGGTGCACAGACAGACAGTGTAGATTACAACTGTGCACTAACTTAGCTTGTGAGAGCCGATCACATAGGGAATTCAGCACAGTTAAAGCTGTGGTTCTGCTGCTGTATCAAACCCGGTTAAACAAGCTGAGTACAACGCAGCCTTGAAGTCTTATGTGATCTCAAAGTGTATGTACTTTAGCTGTGAGGTCCAGCAATAGTTCCAGTCATTAAGAATTTAAGAAATTTTTTCATAATAATTTATTGATTCACTGAACAATCTGAAAAAGTCTTTAAAATTAACTAAAATAACTAGCTCCTGAAAGTTGTACTCTGACTCCCAAACACACACTGTGGGACACACAATGTAATAAAAATAATAAATAAATATAAGAAAATTAATTTAAAATTTCCCATATTATTTTATATCAGAAAAACAGGACTTAGATGTAATATCTGAGCAACTGCCATGAACTTTAATTCTTTTGAGATATTTGTAAGGTGTAGTTAGAAAATGTTTACCTAGATCTTGCTCAAAAAAAACTCAAAATGCAGAACTCTGAGGACTAGACAAATTTCCAAAAAGATTACTATGTATCACTCCAGAGAAGGTCTGGGGTGATGTGGGATTCAGTTTGAGAGCACTGCATAAGATGCACCCGGGAAGACGTTCAGATAGGACGTGTCCACGGAGCGTAGCACACACCAAACAATTTGCCAACTGCCAATATCATACAAGGCTGAATGCACATAACACAGAAACAGTCTAAGTTTATCATTTCTCATAAACCCTGCTGTGAGAAATGAGGAATTTCTTCAAACTGACATGAAGTCATAACTCTGTGTAGCCAACGTGTACAGAAACAGAGCAGTCGAAGGTATGGGACAGTACACAATCCTGACACCATCCCAAATCCTGAATGTAAGTCTTTTCTAAATGGATGGTCTATTTCAAAGGGATCCCAAATACATAGGACTGAAGACTGTTCGTGTTTCTGAAAAGCTATACTTAGTATGTGTGTGTGTGTGTGTGTGCGCGCTCACCCACAGAGATGACAGTTGTGGACTTGGTTCTCCCTTGCACGATGTGTGTTGTGTGTCGGGACCCAGATGTGGTGGCATCATGTGAGGGCAGAGCAGAACCCGCAGGTGCCCTGGGGAGGGACCTCAGCAACAGCACCTTTGCCCACGGACTGATCTCACCCAGGATCATAGGTCATGTCTGCAGAAACTACTGATGTGGACATCATTTCAATATTTTCTAGAACACTAAAGTGTTTTTGTTTGTGGTGCAAAAAAAAAAGAAAAACACACACAGAAAATAACACTATTGGAGTTGTTAGGAAAGTCCGTGCAGCTGGCAAAAAAACCAAGCCACGCTCAGAGCAAGCCCCAGCATGCAAATGCCACTTGACGGTTCACAGCCCACAAGGGCCCAGAACTATGTCAACAACACACTAACTGTCATACCGGTCTTTTTCTGGCTCAATAACAAGTGTAGAAAATCCTGACTTGAATAAGACCCCCAGGTGACAGACAAAAACAAGCATATTCCAAAACACAAAAGACAAGAGCCTGTGGACTTCTGTGTGGTCATCAAAACCCTTCTGGTAAAGTTCTGTAGCCGCACATCTCCGCTCAGCTGAAAGGGTGGAGTACAATAGCCACAACTTTGTTACAGACTAAAATCCAACAGGTGATTCCAATTCCACCTAAAAAGAAAGAAATTCGTGTCAGAGAATACAGTGGCAACACCTACAGGGAGGAATAGGCCAATTCCAACTGTTGAGGGGTAAGAGAAGAGGTCATCAGACTACAGGTCACAGACAGGTACAATGTGTACCAAGCTGAACAGTGGGCACTGTCTGTGTCCCTTTCCTGCCAGAGAAGTCCCCGGGTATATCAACAGGCTATAACAACACCCTGACCACTATTTTACACTTCTCAAAAAAGTATTATAAAGCTGGGGGAGGGGCTGGTGCCATATACCTTTAATCCCAGCAGTCAGGAGGCAGAGGCAGGTGAATCTCTCAGTTAGAGGCCCATCTAATCTACAGAGCAAGTTCCAAGACAGCCAGGACTACACAGAGAAATCCTGTCTTTAAAAAATCAACAACAGCAAAAAAAAGCATTGTAAACAAAGTTATGTTTTCTCAGGCCTAAAGTAAAGACATCCTTATCCTCCGTCCCCAGGTTGCAAGGCCAACAGCCCGGCAAAGTGCCAGCAAGGGTGGCCTGCTGCCCCTCCGACCTGAGCCCAGCAGTGTTGGGGAGAGGGGAGCACAGCTAAACTGAAGGTCCTTTCAGTGATGTCTTTTTCTACAGTATGACCACACATCAGAACCTGTGACTGGCAAGAATCTACACTTTGCTTTTTACAGGCTCTTGCACTGTAGTCCACGATGGCCTTGAACTTGCAGCAATCCACCCGCTTCAGCCTCCTAAAGGCTGTGACTGCAGGCACAAGCCACCATACTACCTCAATTACCAAAAACCAGGACCTGAGAAAGTGTACTAACAGGAAAATTCAAATAACAAGAAAATTCTTTGGCAAAGAAATTTCCTGACAGAGTGCTGTGCCCTGCACTGTCTGCCCCTAATTCATATGTGTCAGTCCTGACCCTGGGGACAATGTCAGGCAGGGCCGTGGGGCCGCCTTAGGAAGAAGCTTACACAGCACAGTCTACCATCTCCTCCTCCTATCCAAGGACCCTTGAAAGGGGGCCATTTGTGAAACACAAAATGGGTCCTAATGCTACCAATCTATGGCACCTTCACCTTGGATTCCAGCCATTAGGAAGCAGATCTGTATAAGTTACCTGCTGTGGAAAAATCTTTATACACTGGAAATATATGTTGCTATTATTGTTAACAAAAAGCTGACTGACTGGCAGCCAGGTAGAAAGTAAAGGCAGGACAACCAAACCAAGGGTAATGGGATGAGGAAGGCGGTGTCAGAGATCACCAGCCAGACACAGAGCAAGTCGGACACATAAAGTGGGACCCTCAGGGCGGCAGTCAGATTAACAGAAATGTTAAGTTGTAAGAGCTGGTTGGTAACAAGCCTGAGCTATCGAATGAGCATTTATAAGGAATATTAAGTGTTTATTCTGGGGCCGGCAGTCAGGACAGGGAAACTCGGCCTACAAGTACCCACTGTATACTTTATTGTAGCAGACTGAACATATGAGACACACAAGAAAGTGAAAAGGATACAGAATGAGTTAAGCCAGGTGGCCTTGACCATCTTAAGACAGACGGCAAGGACACACTGGAAGACACAGACCACAGCTCGGCTTATCCGTAACTGGCAGGAATTTTTTTACCCCCATTTTTCTAAGTAGCCCTACCTGGTCTGAAACTCCCTATGTAGACCTTGAACTCACAGAGTTCCTCATGCCTGTTAACTGAGTGCTAGACAGACTAAAAGTACACACACAAGGCAACTGGCATACTGGGGGTGGGGGGGCTTTGTTTTTGTTTGGTTTGGTTTGGTTTTTGGTTTTTCAAGACAGGGCTTTTTTGTGTAACAGCCCTGGCTGTCCTGGAACTCACTCTGTAGACCAGGCTGGCCTGGAACTCAGAGATCCACCTACCTCTGCCTCCCAAGTGCTGGGATTAAAGGCGTGCACCACCACCTGGCTTTTTTTTTTAACTGGCATTTTTTTTTTAAAAAATTGTTCCCATGTTGCCAGGGCATGGAGAAGCACACCTTTAATCCCAGCAGCGCTGGGGAGGCAGAAGCAAACAAACCTCTGTGAGCTTGAGACCAGCCTGGTCTGCAGCAGAGCTCCGGGCCAACCGGGGCCACAGTGAAACTGTCTCAACCACCCCTCCAACCCGAAAACTTATCCCTATGTGTCTGCTCATTCTTCAATGACAGCCAACAGCAAGTTGCTCAGTGCCGCAGCCACAGGGAGGGGAAGGTGACCTCTGAGAGCCTGGGCTGTAACTCTGCTCCTGAGCATTCAAAGTGACCTGCAGGCAGCTTCTCTAGACCCCATAAGGCTGAGATAGGAAGGGCAGCTTGCGAAGGGGACAATGAGGACAACGTCAGGTGGCCTGATCTCCCGCCGCACACCTCTACTGCCTACCTGCCACTCGAGTAGGAAAGGCCACCAGGCGGTCTAGCGGGGTGATCCACTTGCTGGGCACCACGGCCACAGGGACGGAGTAATACTTCCAGATGAGCGAGATCATCAATGCTGCCTGGAGGAAGATGTGGTGAGTAGAGGCCTCACACCCGTCAGTCCTTGCAGTACACACACACACACACACACACACACACACACACAGAGGACTTGAGACAAAATGTCATATACTGGTGACAGGTGGGTGGGCCTTCTCATAGGAACTGGCATTTTATCCTGTAACACAGAAGTCAGACATTCACTATTTAAATTAGCTGAGTCCACCCACAATGTCTGTCCTGAGTAGCTGAACTATATGCCAAATATAAAAGCACTCGTGGCTCCAAGATCCTAAGAAGGACAGTCCTCCCTACACAGCAGAGGTGATCCCTATGGCACCCCCATCAGTTTCAAGCTGGTGAAAACTAATGTTTTATTTCCTGCCCCTTCCCAGAAGCAGCTTCTGTTGCCCCAAACTCTCTGCTCAAACGAGCAGACTGAAGAAGATGCCTGCCAGCCGCCTGGCTCTCCGTGGAGCAGACTGAAGAAGATGCCTGCCAGCGGCCTGGC